AAACAAACAGCATGAAAATTCTGCAGCCAGAAAACTATGAAGAATAGCGAGACTTCGAGCATTTGCACACGGCGTTCAAATATTGTCGAAAAATATGAACGTGGCCTATGATCATGGCCGGTGCCAGCCAGCTGATCATCGGCAGGTCGAACGGCGTTGCAAAATGACCGAGGTGTTCGCACAGCGCGGGCCGATACGGCAAAGACCAAGGTTTCATCCGAATGTTTCATCATCGTTTCAGCTACCAGTTTATTTACTGTTTACAGTTCCCTGTTTGCCCAGTCCGATGAGGGCTCAATGGGCAGAGTGTGCCGGCTGGAAATATTTTCGAAGGATCACAAAAGGCTACTACAGCATCAAACTCACTCCAAGAAAGTTTCATCCGCATTTTACTCATGGAATTCTTTGTACCCGTCCTCATGCAGCATTGGAACGGAAATCCAAATCAATGCAATCTCTTCACTGTGCTGAATCCGAATGTGCTCCTATTGATGTTGTCAAAATTGAAGTTTTAGGACATTAATGCAGATTCTTCTACCTAGGATTAGTGAAACGGTGTCTGGTCTTAGTGCGATGTCCTGCTACTCACACTCTTCACAAAATAGCTACACACACTTTGCTGCAACCAGAGGTAGTATAAACGTTCAGAAGGATCATGCAAGCCATTTTTCAGGTGCAGCTACTCGCTTCCGTAGTTCATGTTTCATCTCCATGATTTGACGTTCACCTAGATGGAAAGCCACTAATCATGTCATTAAATTCGCGTGCCTTCAACATGGGCCGAAACCCGAAAATCTCGATGCAGCATGATTTGCCTCTGATGCAGCCCTGTGTAAGAAATATTCGTGTGCGTTCCACAAAGAAATGAAAATCTGGTAAACTTGGGCGATGGTTCCAAAGTACATCATGCGATATAAGTATTCTCTGCGTAAGCCAAATCAAGAATAGCCGCCATTCATTTCTGAGCACTTTCATAAGACCAAGCTTTGCTTCTGCAGTACTATGTATATCCTGCTCACAATTTGTCGCAAATGGTCACTTGCCTAGATTTCTCACGATTGCTGGAGCATTCACAAGACTTTATCTTAATAATGCTAACAAGGTTTGCGATCATGTCGTCGACTACAAGCAACATTTTGTCAGGAATGTGTGCTTGACAGGAACGCTGTTACATCTCTGTAACAGCTGCTGCAACGAACTAGTGGTCAATGAGGATATAGAACAGTCAACTTTTGAGTCCAAAAAAGGCTAAACTAAAAGGTTTTTTTATTTGAAAATCTTTAGTAGCCGTTCTCTATGTATCTTAAGCTCAGTCCGCCTTCCTTGTCGAGGAAAACACGCTTTTTCGAAGTGTTCCTTGAACCTGGTATCAGTCGATCAGTCAGAATTACTGGAACGATCTTGCTATCATTGCGATACCACTTTTCCTGAACCTCTTTAGTTTGTTATCTCACTTTACGTTGACGGCGTAGTTCCATGCTTATCTTATCGGGTCCTTTGTTCGTTTAGACTACTTGCAACAATGCAAAAATTCCGTGGGAACAGAAAGGAAGGGAAATTAGCATTATGAATTTTCTGGTCTATAGCTAGTCAAGGTTAAAATTTAAACCTGTTTTGAATCGTTAATATATTTGTGTTACATATCCGACATCTCAGAAGAAAGCTTATGAGAACTTCTTGAGCTCTGTCGAAAGCTACAACTGTCTCAAACGTCCCACCCGGTGGCGTATCGAGGAAGGGGGCGCGGGGAGGGGGAGGGGGGGGGGGGGGGGAGGGAGAATGCGCACCCCCTCCCGAGAATGGATTGCGAAATTTTTTGAAGTTACTTGCATGAGTTATAAAAAATGCGCATGTGACTTGTTCATATCCGTAAATGATTGAGATAATTTTCAAATTTTAAAAATTCAATTTAGCCTTAGATTCGAGGCGTGGTTCTTTTTCTTAGATTTAGGGGTATGGGTCCGCGAAAATTTTGTGAAGCGTACTGAAAAGCCTCTAAGAGTAAGTGGCTAGGCAACGCACTTTCATCAGAAAAATTTTTTTGTCCCTCCTCCCCGAAGGGAAAATCTGGGCACGCCTTTGGTTCCACCTAATCTTGACTTCGTGTCGGCTCGCACCAGGTGCACTGCCGTTCGCCGCCGCCGAGATAGAGAGAGACATTGGAGGAACGCTCCGTTTGCAAGCGTTTTTTCAAGCACACATGGAAGATCTGTTTGTGTAGCGTTATCTGAAACAGCTCTGAAGAAATACTCACCTATATTCTGAACGTGCTTATTTCTTGTGTACAAAAGCGTGATGCAAGATAGCTGTGCTTGATTGTTTAAGTGCTTTTCATTCGTTAGAGGCGTACAGAGCTACCTAAATGTTGGAAATTTGGTACTATATGGAGAAAGTTTCTGTGAAAGAAGTTACGAGCGCCCCGGTTCTACATGCTTTGCCCTCTACAAACGAATTGAATACAAATAATGATGCATCACTGTTAGAAATGCGATGTGCAGTAGGGAGAGCAGTTGGATTTGAGCCGTAATTCACCGGGTTCGAAATCGTGGGTGCCCGTCGCTTGCGCCTTTTGTAAAGTTTTTTATTTTGGCTGAAAATCATTTTGAATAGCGAATCACTAGTTTTTGTTATGACTGCGTTCCGCACATTTCCGCAGCAGTATGATGCATAATTACATGTTCTCGCCTGTGGATAACGATCCTTCAGATTCAGGAGTCCGTAACTTCTTGCACCCTTTTGGGAGATTTGGAAAGCAGCTATGCTGTCAGTGTCCCGAAGAAACCATAATCATGTATATCTCCTTGCTAAAGGCCAGTGTGACTCGGTATCCTTAACTCAGAACAGTCGCTCGAAACCGCCGCAGGGAGAGCAGTTTGCGGAAATTGCGCGAGGGATTTTTCACTATTGGAATGCCATATATGGGTGGGTGGGCGACCCGCTCTAAGGCGACGTCATCAAACTCGAAGTGCTGGTACGCCACCACGTTGAGGATAAATTGCTGTGTTCGTCCCGGAAGACATCAGAGAGTGCGCGAGGTTATAAAGAACCAGAATCGCCGAAAAAATACGCCCACTCCGCTGTACCATATTTATAAAATCGGCTATTGGCAACCAGCTTATGAAACAACAGGAGAAGAAATCAAACTGTCTAAGTGATACAGTATTAACCCAAAACATAGACCCTAAGAGTCAATCGTTGCTTGCTTTCCTAATATATTCTCACAAGTGTGCATTCTGGAAATCTGAGACATTTGCTATAATTCGATTCTGTCACTTGTAAGCAGAAATATTCCTGATTTCTTCTGAAAGCTCATGAATATACACCCCAAAACACTGCTCAGATACGGTTGTGAGCAGCATAATTGATACGAGCATGAATCCGCCTCTTCCATGTGTACGATGTTTTTCAGAGAGTTATTCGCTCTTACACAAGCCTGTTTTTCACCATTTTCACCATAATTTCCTCGCACCTTGGTTTGTTTGCGAATTCAACTCTACAAATAATGTTTTGCGCATAAAGGTACGCGAATTGACTTGCATGACCATTGACTTAGCATACATCAGTCTCCTTTTTTAGAGGTTGATGAATTTTGGTTGCACTGCATATCTCAAGGCTTAGGGGTGCATCTGTAGCTCAGTCTTCTCCAAAGACGATTAGCAGAAAATGGGCGCAAGTTTTGACCAAAACCGTCTTCGCCATTGTCCCCAGAGCCCCTTTCTGTGTGCATGGAACTGCATACAGGTTACAAAACTTTTATTTATGGCCGTGCAGTTACCTCAACATTCGGACCAACATGATTATACGCTCTTTGCCACCATCATCAATGGACGCTCTGACGCGGCTTCCGTCCTTTATCTAGCAGTACGATAGGCCTTTTATGTTTTGCTGTCCAGAAGCTGACTTTACCTTTGGTATGCCTGCCAGTAACAGCCTGGACGCACAACTGCTGCGACTGGCTTCAGTCCTACAATCTCTTCTCTCGGCTTTTCAGCAGAGCGATTCGGCGGATGTGCTGTGCTTGGCGTATTCGGACAAATGTAGGAGCGCTAATATTCAATATGTTGATACTCCACTGATCCATTTGTTCTTTGCCACCTAAGTGACTACAAAAAAGGTATACTTGCCCTAAAAACTTCGAGCTTGAGGCGGCACCCTAGATGCATCTTCACTAAAATTGTCTCCAAACTGTCCCACCCTCTCACTTCCACTCAACCTATCCCTTGAATTATGTGTGTATCTTCCTTATTCACCCGTACCTTTTATTATTGCATATTTGGTTCAACGCTTTTGCATTTGCTGATACTATATGTGTTCATGTAAAGTTGAGGAGCATGAGCTCCTGTCTGACTAACTTGTTAAAGATATAATCCCAGGTAGCCGCGACTATCTAAAGCAAAGTGCAAATTATTAGATTCGCCCTGCTGATCTAATTCTAAATCTTCCGTATCGAACCGGTGTTCTGGAAAAAATTATGAAGTTATTAGAGTTTTAATGAGTACTAACTGGAAGGAATGCACATACATCGCACCATAGATAAGTGTTTTCAAACAACTACTTTCTGAAGTTGTGGCACTAAATCTTTGCCAAATTCGGAATCACAAACGTCATAACTTTTTACAGAGAACTGCGCAGCAGATAGGAAGTTTTCGGATCAGCTCATGCTGTGAAGCGGGGGAGATGACTGCATCTGTCTTTGGCCTTTGGAAGATGACAATCGCATCAAAGCAGGCTGAACTTTGAGAGCTCAAATCTTGGAATCTTATGGTTTCGCAACACCGCCGCCCAATATAGGAGAATGATAAAAGTACTACCACGTAGGGCCACTTCCTAATTTCGCGCAGAATCTCATTCTTGCAAAAAGTGCCAAGGAAACGCGCACTGATTAAGAGCAGACATTACGACATTTAAAGAAATTTACTGTTACTAAGTCCACCAGGACCTTCACCACATCATGCTTCATTTTCGGTGGAGGAAGAACAACAGTCAAATTATCGACCCGTCTTTGTTATTTGGAAGCAAATGTTATAAGTAGCAAATTAATAATGTGAGCAAATGTGTACATCAGGTTCGTCGAATTAACACCATGACGCCTTCTTTTTTTTCCCTCTTCTTTTGTTCAGACTTTCTTCGAGCTTTTTCTTCTTTCAATCTTCGTTCTTCCTCTTTCCGTTCTTTCTCAAGCTCCTCGTAGCATGATAAGTAGCACTGTATATAATCGTGCGGTGGAAAGTGCTGAGTGCACATATCATGACACTACAAAGATGAGCAAAATACCCAACAGCTAAACTGGAAAAGAAAATATGCTTACCGCGTTGCTATCAATGATGTTGTCACCAAATTTCTCAAATAACTTATCAATAAGCCTTCCTATGGGCTTAGGTAATTTCCAACAGTCGTTAACGCGTGCATGTAGAAAAACCAGTATGAGGATTATGTTCCAGTTCATGTTTCTCTAAAAAGAAGTTTACGATCTCAAGTTACAGCGACTCTTTTTCTACAGATGCACAACTCAAATCCGACTTATTTCTGAGAATGTAGGGCTTAAATTCCAAAAGTATTTGATTAAGCATAAGTAAGCATCACGTGTACGTACCACCTTTTCAAACAGAAAAATTAGACTTGCGACAATGAGTAAGTTTTCCGGACATGAAAAGTAGAGCAACCCACCTTTGTAGTTCTCGACAAATGGAGTAGTGTTTGAAAAATACTACATGTAGTAGTACTCGTTCCCTGTAACTAAGAATTCAAGCGGGTTCTGAAGACTAGTACTACATGTAGTAGTACGTGTGTTTTGTAATTAATATATTCTAACGCTAAAATTGAAAAGGCAAAATAGGCTCGCCAAAAGCTTTTAGAAGTTTAGATAGATCCCAAGCAAAAAAAGCTTTAATATGCTTCGTTAATTTTGTCAAATCTACTTCAATTACTGTGATAGAGACACCCAGTGCAAGAAAGTTGGTTTTGTCATTGTTGAGAATCGCAGAAACTTGGACGTCAATCTTCCACCGTTCTCAGTACTTTTGAGGGAGCACATTTCATAAAATCAAACAGTTTGTTATCATGGTTCAGTGTCGATACAACTGAAGAAACTCTTAGCAGGCGATATCAAAGCATGCTCAGTCAGAAAGACAGCTAATTTGACTACGAATGAAATCTTTTGTGACCGGTTTTGAGGCTAAGAACTAGACCGGTTATTCGACTCCCTGGGTGCCTTCAGACCTACAATTAGTGCCCTTTCGTCAGTAGTTTTCTGGAATTCATCAAAATATGACATTTAACTAGAAGAAGGTTGCTGTGACTGCCCAGTGATCAAGAGTAAACTTGTGATTAGTAGCTAAAAGAGTAGACTAGGATGTCAGTTACCCCAGAAGGTACCTCCGCGGTGCACCCGCAGCGCGCCCGTCTTAATGCTTCTCACCCCAATCATGAGCAGTAATATCTACGCATAGAAGAGAACTGAAAAGTGGAAACCTCTAGGTTCACTTTGAAAGAAACCTATGCAAGCTACAGCAACCTCCGTTAATACCTCAGATTCAATCTATAGATGCAAATTTTAAAATTGCATTGATGGATAAGCGGCAATAATTATACGTAGGCAGAAAAAGAACAACAGCATTTTTGAAACGTTTCTCTTCGTAAACGTAGAAACTATCAGGTTGATGCATAAATTTGCATCAAAATTTTTGAAATTCTTTTACTTCATCCAACTTCAATGAAATCTTCTGGTTTAAAAGCTAATAGAGAGAGAGAAAAAGAAAGAGAGAGAGGAAGAGAAAAAAATCTTGGACTTTCTGAAGGTGTTTGGATCAAAATTCCTTGGGGGCATATGGCAACGATATAAAGTGATTAAGAAAAATACTTAGAAAGTGATTTCGACTTTTGACACCAAAATGTTAAATCAACTAAAATTGAGTTTGATTTTAACCTTAATCTTATGACATACTCTTTTCAACAAAGAGAAGCAGGACGTGATTTAATTTCTGTGCGGATAGTTACGAATTTCGACTTTTTTCATAATTGACTTATTTAATTTGTTACATTTCGATTTTCTAAAATGCACTATAAAATATTACTTTTGATATACGTAACAAGAAGCATCTGTAAATTGATTTGTCTATTTAAGTAATTAAGGCGTCTATTTGAGTATTTTTGAAACACTTTTTTCTATTGTTTGATGCAAGAATAGTGCATCAACCTAATAGAATGGTAAAAAAATTTCAAAAACCGAGGACGTTTCTGTGAACAATTCCCCACCATCTTCTCGAAAGGTTTGATCTACTCAAGACAATGCTACACCTTACAAATCATCCCGAAAGGGACTCTTATCTGGTACAAGAAGCTTTTGAAGGAATAATCCCTTAAAGTTCACTCGAATCTTAAGCTCTTAAAAAAGGAAAAGCACAAAACTACTACTCAAGACTGAAGCTCTCAGGACTATTAGAGCATGTGAAACTTCGTCACCGGTTATCGCGGCTTATGCCTGAAAGAAGCTAGGACAGGAGGCGCACTGAAGGCGCTTTGCAGGTGCGTCGCGCAGGTACCTATGGGAAACTGGTCGGGTTCTACACTATGCTTGAAGAGAGGTGTGAGCTGAAGACTAACGACAAATATACTATGAGAGTCCATATAAAGATATGAGAGCAGTCCTTGTGGCATCTGGACAAATATTTTCCGTCTACACCTATCACACCATCATTAGTCACCACTTCCGCACGTCATACAGTAAAGGTCGACGAACACTATTGTAAAGGACAAAGGATTTGTCCTAAATATTAACCAGCCCATATTTGCAAAGATAAGGTCTGTCGTGAAAAGTGTATATAGCAGACTCTTCATTCTTCGCAAGTAGGGGTTAACGCTCCTATTCCAACGGTTGCCCTCTGATGTCCTTCTACTCAATAATTATTTTTGAAATTTGCGTAATTTGAGCTACTATTCCTGTATACTCTAAGCACTTCTGAAGAAAGCGTGTTTATCAGTATATACCAGGGTATATTGGACATTCAATTGGGATATACAGTGACCTAGACCCTCTATTCTATAGTATAGGACAAATCTGGTCTGATTCCTCGACCTTAATTGTAAAGGATAAAAGATAAAGGATTCGGCATCCCTAATACAGCGCTGGCCATAATCATAAAGACACTCTAGAAACTGTCGTATTTGCGTTCTTGTTGACGAATCTGTCTGAAACTTTGTTGTTTAGTGCGCATGTCAGCCTAGCGTGATCCCTCAAAACGGCTTCCAATTTTGTTGAGTTTGAATGGAGAAACTTGGAAAAATCGAAAAACCCTATCGAAAGCTGGACAAAATCATAAAGACACCTGGTATTTTTTGCACACTATCGCATCCATTGACTTAAAAAATTTTTTGTACAGTCGCATAATAAAATATGAAACATTTGCAACATATATGACCTGTCATCCTTCTCAAAGAGAAATGTTCGCTGCATTTTTGGCTTTCAAAAGCACCAAAAGTCAATCTGCTTCAACAAACAACTGGTTTGAAGAGTTTTCAAGCTCTTGTTTATCTCAGATGATATTTGTAGAATCCACTGACCTTTTCGATAAATGACTTGAAATCAGGGCCCGGCATGCGTTGGTTTGGAGGTTTTTAGGAAACGAAGTCCCCCATGACTTCGCGAAAATTTACGAAGTCCCTTTCGACGTGAAAATCAGTAGGGAAGCCCTTATTCAACCAAAATTGCAACAAAAAAGCGAAAAAAGCGCATTTTGAGGTATGTAATATAACAAAAAAGCAAAAAGAAAACTCTTCGAGTTGATTAAAGGCTCTGCCATTGGGTATAGTACCATTTTAAGGCTCGGAATGTCGAAACCTCCTAGACCAACCAAATCTGTGGCCTCAACAATCCGGCGATGCATTTTCGCCACATAGTTCAAAGGACACCGCAAGTGATTGGAGCGCGATATATGTCAACGCGTAGAATTATACCACTTTTGACTCAAAAAAAGGGGAGAGGCAACGGTTTGATCCGCTCTCTTCACTATATGATATTTTGGCCGTTCTAATCGTCCAAATCAAAAAGGTCCAAAACTTATGTGAACTCTCCGATATTTATGCCGAACCAACCCAGTTGATTTGGTAGTTAGTTTAGAAACCAACAAATTCGAGAACGGGACTTTTTACATAACATAGTTTGGAGTAATATTGTATACTCATAACCCAAATTCGGAGCCATGTGATTGTTGTGCGCTGTAAACAAGCCATTTGTTTGTTTGAGTCTTGCATTTGAAATTCGCGCGCTTGCGAAAGAACACGTTCAACTCGTGAAACCTGACATGTTCGTCGTGTTTTTTTGGCGCTTCCTCCGGGACCTCATAAAAACGATGTCCCCGTTGCTTCTTACCTTAAAGGCAGTGTCCGGGCAGAAACTCGACTTCTGAAAAATCAACTTATCTGGGGTTATCCGCAACGCTGAATCCGAAAATCCACATCAGAAGGCGCGAAAACGGCGAGAACATGCATTTTCCAAGTCCTCACATTTCGAAATCTGGGGATCCCCGCCAGGCTAAGACGCAGAGGTTGCAAAGAGCGCACGGTTTTCAACTGTGGTGGCATACGTACTCTGCCGTCTGGCAGGAATTCAAACAGCTCGGAGGACCCCGCCCCGAGGCGTAAGTTTCCCCACTTTGCAATTGTTTTTCTTGCTTTAGGTCGAACGTTTTATGCTCGCAGTTGCGCGATGTTGTGTCTCACGGGGGCTACTTTCACATGGCAGAGAAATCTCAGAACCCCCATCTTGCCCGGACACTGCCTTTAAAAACGAAGTCCAGTTTGACCCCAAACCATCGGTGCCGGGCCCTGGTTGAAATGCGCTTTCTGCGTGATCGCTGATAGACGGACAGACTCCAACCTGAACATCGGCTTGCCACGCTTTTAAACCATAAAACTCAGTTTGCAATGTCTATAAAGTGCTGAACTTGATTTATTACATTGCATACATGGTGATGCAGCTTTCGCAATAACTTTCAGATTTTCCCTAATTATGCGGTCGCTATTTAGACCTGAAATATTTTCCATGAAAATTCTCTGCGAACAATGGATTCGAGATAATCATAAATCTCACTATTTTTCCTGTTTCATGTCAGATTCTAGCCAAAGAATGAGACTGGCTAAGTTTTTGAAGTTCTGAGCGGTCTCCTGTTCTATCTCGTGATCTGTGTTGGCTATGATTATGCAGGCTGCTCCACTCAACATCCAGTGGATGACAACTACGGCTGAAGCATTATGCCAACTTCAATACTTTCCTAACTATGCACACAAGTTTACTGTTGTACAGCCGACTAATGGTTACATTACAGTACTTCCCTTTCTGTTGCTTGAAAACTGAGTTTTATGGTTTGAAAGCGTGACAAACCTATGTTAATGTTGGAGTCTGTCTGTCAATATCAGCAATCACGCAAAGATTACGAAAGCGCTTTTCAGCTCATTTATCGAAAAGGCTTGGTGGATTCTACAACCAGTATCTGAGATAAACAAGAGCTTGAAAACTCTTCAAACCAGTTGTATGTTGAAGCAGATTGACCTTTGGTGCTTTGAAAGCAAAAAATGCAGTGAACATTTCTCTTTAAAAAGAATGACAGGTCGCATATGTTGCAAATGTTTCATATTTTAATATGTGACTGTACAAAAGAAATTTTTAAGTCAATGGATGCGATAGTGTGCAAAAAACTCAGATGTATTTATAATTTTGTTCAGTTTCGGTAGGGGTTTTTCGAGTTTTTCTAAGTTACTCCATTCAAACTCAACAAAATTGGAAGCCGTTTCGAGGGTTCATAGTAGGCTGACATGCGCACTAAACAACAAAGTTTCAGACAGATTCGTCAACAAGAACGCAAATTATGACACTTTCTAGAGTGTCTTTATGATTATGGCCAGCACTGTATCCTTTGCGGGCACGCGCTGAGTGCATTCTTTCTCATAGTTGAAGAGATAATATGCGTGCGAGCTTTAAATGACCGGGCGAGGGGTAGGGAGAGGAGGCAGGGGGGGGGAGGATGGCAGCAGATACTAAATCATTGCTTTTGTCTTTTTAGATCATCCTGGTACCAATTTACCGGCCCGCAGGGTAGGAGGGCTTGATTGGCCCGAGGGCGAGTCGAACCTGGGTCCGAATCTGATCAAGACGTCTCAAACCATTAGGCCACTATACTTTGGGCCGAATCGAATGATTATTCGATCATTCGAACAAATCACTCGAATGCGAATGATTCGAAAATTCAATATTCGATATTAGATACCGAATAATATTCGATAGTCGAATATTTGAAGTTCATCAGATATTCGAATATTCGAAAATTCGATGGTCATCCAAAATCGGAATTCCGATATCCTAGCATTACAAGGTGGTCCAAAATTGTCTATACACTGTTTGATCGCTGACCTTTTTCTTACGTTCGCTTTTGGGTATCATTCTGTAGGGCCTGCATCAGCTTACATATGCAACAAAAGGCAAATCACCCTTAGCTTCTGATTATCGTGAGATTGGAGGAGCTCAGGAGCTTTTTGCATATTCAGCCACTTCGAAATATGCCGTTTGTAAGAGCTTCACTGTGAAAATAAATTAATGTAGCACATTCTTTACGTATGCTGATTTTACTGCACAATTTTACGAGTTTTCAAGCTTTCATTATATAATCTTGTTCTTAAGAATCACTCTTATGGTGTACCTTCAAAAATCGAATATTCGAAAATTCAAATTTTCGATATTATTCGATGGTCGAATATTCGAAATTTTCGATTTTCGAATGTTATCCGAATCGGATGTTTGAAAAATTTTTCGAATTTCCCTGAGTATACAGGCCACTCGTCTCGCGACCTTGATCGTAAGGTTCAAAAAAGGGTCCCTAGTGCACTACCCGATGTCGTTTCTATCTCAAAAAATGGTGGTAGATCTCCCTTTAACTAAAAGCCACAGACAAACTCCGGTAGATAAGGTAATAGGGTAGATACATCAAAGGTACACCGGTAGATAGGTAATATATCATCGATGTACCTTGCTTTAAGAATGCGGTTAAGCTAAAAGCCTGTGTATACTCTGGCAAATTCGAAAAATTTTTCGAATATTTGAATATCGAATAATACTCGAAAATTGAAAAACTTCGGATATTCGACTATCGAATAATATTCGAAAATCGAAAATTTCGGATATTCGACCTTCGATTAATATTTGAAAATCGAAATTTTCGGATATTCGACTTTTGAATAATATTCGAATACGAATAGCATTCGACTTTCGAATATTATTCGAATAGTTTGAATTTACATGGTGAAAAAAAGGTAGGTTTATGGGTGACACCATGATCCTGAAATCCTACTCCTATAACGGTGTTGTTAAGAATGGAAATAGAAGATCATTGTTTCAAATCGTGGCTTTATGAGTAATGAAATCAAGAAGCTAGTGAAAGACGGCTGTCTTGCATACACACTATTCAAAATAGCGCACGGGGCCATTCAAACATATAGGCCCGTAGTAAATCTCCGTCATCCTAGATCAGCTGCGGAGGGCCTCAGTTGACGTTGCGGCGCCTTAGCGCAGTGTCAAGCGAGCCATCGATCCGTGCGGATCGTTTTGTAGGCATGATAAAAACTGCGTGTTGTCAAAGAAAAACCAGCTCGAGAGATTGTGCAGGTTT